AGTAGGCCACAGCCTACATACATTTAAGTGAAATGATATAAACCATCATTGAGCTATGATTTTTGTAGAAATGAACTAGGTATACACAACATTGTTAAATTGGAAGTTTCTTTCTTTATGTTTTAACTGATCTGAGAACCAGGAATTTTAAATTACAAATCACTCTCCTTACACACTTGAAAAAAAATAATGAATGTCCATAACATTTTTCTCAGACACGAAGCCCATTTCTCAGCCCTATTAAAAGTTTCTGTTCCATGGCAAATTTAATGATTGTGGGGAGTAATGAGTCACAATGAAAGCACATCCATCACACCATATTGTCACCATGACAAAGAACAGTGATAGAAATGAAAGTTGACTAAGTTGACTAATGACCACAATAGAAAACTATTCAATAATGACAGGAATCACTTAGTACATAAAAAAGTGGTCTTCAGATGGCTAACAACAACAGAGAAAAGATTAAAAAAAATTAATCATTCCGAATTTTAACACCCCTCACCAACAACCATTGAGTACTCTGCTGTAAAGTAAAGTAATTTCAAGCTTCTTCACATCTGTAGTCAACCAAATCAGAGGACTCTCCATTAGAGCATTTTTTGGTTGATATGTTATGGAACACTGCTATTACAGTGCTTACCCGGTACTGTTGTGGACCAAGTGTGTCCTTAGGACGATATATCGTAATAATAATAAAGTCCACATATTAGGATAGTAAGGTTAAGTTCTGTTTGTTTTCATCTTTTAACCACAAATTTCATCCATGCTCCACAGCAGTCTCAACTACCTGTTTGCTTTTATAACTGTGGGGTAGACATCAGCTGTCTGTCACCTGATTATGGCAAAAGTGTCTTTTAGGTCCAAACATTTAATAAAAAATTATTTTCTTAGAATTTTAACTCAAACAGTTTAAAGTATAGATTGTTAATCTACTGGGGGAAGATTTTTTTCCTTTTCCCAATTTACAAAAGAAGTGGCAAAATCCGCTATGTATTTGGAAGCGCTAAGTGAGATGTTTTGTCTAGTTAGTGTATGTTTTAGCAATATTATTGAAACCATAACTCTGAAGAGATATTATTTTTTTTAGTTTAGTGAATTGATACTCCTAAAATTAGACTTTATTACAATTCCGTAATGGTTTATGTTAAACAGTCAAACTGCTAAAGGTAAGGAGATCATGTTATACTTGTCACTTCTTTAATAAATTCATAGTACAGGTACTGTACTTGTAATTTATCCCACCCCCCCCTGCCGGATTCATTCAATGCCCAAAAACAGGTTTTAGTCAAAGAAAATAATCTTTATTCAGCATAAAAGCCTACAAGACACATTTACCCTGATTACATTATGACTAAAAACATTAAAATCAAATATCCTGAGAAGCATCACATCAAAATTCTAAATACTGCACTGTACAAGTTAAGGGTTGGCCCCACATCCTACATATTTACCAGCTATTGCACTTATTTTGAAGAATCTGTATACAGGACTATAGAAGAAAAAAGGTTCTTGCCTATTAGTCTTTGACCAAAAAACATGAGGATTAATGAGTGATTTTCTTCCTAGATGTCAAGCTGGTGTTTATACAGTATAATAGCCACAGCTGCTGGTTTATTTTTATTGACATGAACCACAAATGGCTCTAACAAATTAAAATAAAGCTTGAGTGAACTATGCCTTTCCCCCTACAACACTGTCAATGTGCTCTTGCCATTTTGGTGAATTAAAATAACCAATATCAAAAGGATAAGACAAATTATTTTATTTATATACAGTATATATATATATATTTTTGTAGTTTTTCTCTATGTATGATCATAAATCACCTACAGTATAGTGGGCAGGGGTATGAAGGATAAGGGAAATTGCTGGGTAAAACTCGTCAAAAAACTGATTATACGAGACTAAACTAATGTCTCTATGCAAAGAAATTGGTTAATACTTAGTAAAGCTAGCATTTATTTATTGTATTTATTGAATCATATACAGGTATCTGCCATTTAACGATCCTTCACTTTGTGATACTTCGGTTTAACGATTTAAAATTTCGAACAACCTTAGTTATTTAACGATTTGAAATTATTCAGTTTAGCGATCATCAAGTCATCTGGAAAAAATTATGAGAGAGAGAGAGAGAGATGTTTAGCAACTTAGCCTTCCTACTTCGTATGATTCCGTTTTACTTTTATCCTCTTCTATGGGCACCATAGGGGGAGGTCAGACCCGCTTGTCTTCCTCTGGCCTGACTTGGCTTCAGCGCTGTGTGAAGCTTGGTATAGGTGTGAGTTGGTGAATATTGGGTGTAACTCCTATCAGTGTTACTCAAGGCTCACTTCAAACAACTCAGCCCATTCACCCAGACAATGCTGGCCTACATATCACCTCTATGCCCCAGTGTATAAGACCTGGATTCCATTTAAATCTAACCATGGCAGGAGTCGACGCCGGGCGGCGCACTGCTGATGTTCCTGACGAAGGAAATGAAGATGTGGAGGAAAGTCATGGCGACACTGAAGCTGGCTTTCAAAAGTTTAAGACCCGTCAGCAGAAACGCAAAATGAGGACCCAGGGAAGGAAGCAGAGTAGAGCCAATAGGTGGATCCCTCCCATCGCTCCCTGGGTTAACTACATGCGCCTTGCCTTCCCCGAGAACACAACCAATTTATGAAGATTAAGTGGTTGAGAGGCCTGAATGAGAAATATTGCACGACTACGCTGAATGTTGTCATGCCAGGTAGCGCCCCTCGTTTCGTCCATGTGTCAAGACCTGACTGAATTACTCAGAATAGGCAAGCTGTACTCCAAGCTTTGTCAATAAATTTAATAAAAAAAAATTCACCATTGATCAGCTCGCTAGCCGCTTGGGCGATCGGCCACGTCTCTGTTACGCACTGTTGGCAAGTACAGTGGTCCCTCGGTTAACAAACAGTTCGATCAACGAAATTTCGGTTAACGAATTAGCTCCCATAAGGATCTTCAATTCGGTTAATGAACAAAACTTCGATTAACGAAATCCTTATGACAAACACGTTTTGTTGTGAGCATCAGCTGATCGGCTAGTCCGCCAATACAGTAATTGGTTCTATGTTTACATTTGTTTCCAATGGAGTAAATATCAAGACGGTTGTGCTCTTTAATATTTTTGCATTTTTTATATGAAAATTATTAGTCATTTTAAAATTTAGTTAACATATTGACAATACTGTATATGTAGTACAGGGAATTAGTTTTTTGTGCGCCCATCAGCCGCTTGACTCACCCGCCAAAGCGTCAGTTTAACTTTGTTTTCAGTGGAGGACACATCGTGTTTGTCGCTCTCTTGAATACAGAGTATTTTTACGTTTTTACATTAAAATTATTGGTTATTCTGAAATTTAGTTAACATATTGATAATATATAGCACAGTGCAGTGTTGAGTTAAATAAAATAATCTTTAATTACAGCTAGTGAACTTAAAATTTCATTGGTGAAATTACTGCATCAAGCATGGGTCCAAAGAAAGGCGATTTCTCCTTCATCCCCACTTCCTTCTGTTCTCCCTTCTCCTCCTCCACCCCCACTTCTAATTCCCATCATCATCATCAACCAGCAACATTCTACATACACACCTCAAAGTAAGTGTACTTTACTGTATTTTGTTTATACTTTATATGTACTTTTCTGTGAGCTGGAACCACTTACCCAATATCCCATTGAAATGATGGATTCAGTTAACGAAATTTTCGGTTAACGAACGACTCTGTGGAATGAATTGCGTTCGTTAACCGAGGGACCACTGTACTGGGCATGCACTGGCTCCTGAATGTATCTGAACATGCTCCAGAGCTTGTCAAGTCCGGTATTGAAAGAGCTCACACTCGTTGCCACCACAACACTCTCTGGCAGATTGTTCCAAGAGTTCACAACTCTCACTCCAAAAAAGTTACCCCTCACAGTTTTCTGGGCTTGAGGCTTCTTCAACCTTGAGCTGTGGGATGAGCGTCCACCAGCTCCAGGTAAGGGCGCTCGACTGAGTAGTGCCTGTACTGGCTGCATGTATAGATGTCATATGTTATGAGATACATTTAATATTTTTCGTTCACATGAGTGTAAAATTCTGTTTGTTGCCATTTCAAAAGGCCTTTCCCATTATCAAAAGTACATTGCAATGTCACAGTGGTTTTTGTACATCATAATATATTATATTACATTATAATTCTCAATACAGTATATAATGTACAAACATTGAAAATGTATACTGTACCAAAAAAGAGAAGAAAATTTACGAAAACAGGCGGAAAACTGCAACCGTAGGCTATTCTGTTCACTGAATCCTCAGTGTTGGTTAAGGCACTTGGAGTATTACACACGTGACACACACAGAAAATTAGGAAAGTTATTTTTGCGTTGGGCAGTTTTTCTTCATTTTGGTTGGGAGAATGCTCAAGCGAAAGTGTACTTTTAGTGCCTCCTTGCAGTCAAAATACAGGTTGGCAATCCCTTATCCGAAATCTTTGGGGCCAGAGGCATTTCGGATTTTGGAATTTTTCGGTTTTCAGAATGGTTAGTTTTTTTTTTGTGGGGCATTTTTTTTTTTTTTAGCCCACCTGTGCAAGGATCACTGATCCACATCGGGGCCTGGGGGGGGATATAATAAAAATAAAAATAAAAATAAAAATAAAAATAAAAATAATAATAATAATAATAATAATAATAATTCATAGGTCTAGGTCGCATTTCTCACTTTTGATCTTTTTTTCATTCTTGTATTTCTTTATTATTATTATTAGTATCAGTATTTTATAACAGTATTATTGTTATTATTAATTTTATTATTTTATTTTATTATTATTATTATTGTTCTCATTATTATTTCATTTTGGTGCACAGTATTTTAATTAAAAATCTTATTTCCTATGAATAATTATTATTATCATAATTATTATTATTATTACATTTTCACCCACCAGGCCCCGATGTGAGTCAGTGATCTGTGCCCAGGTGGGCTAATCCCTGTTTAAAAAAAATAAATAAATACAAAAAAATTGACCCATAAAAAAACTCGGTTTTCAGAGCTTTTCGGTTTTCGGAATTTCGGATAAAGGGTTGTCAACCTGTACCACATTCTTACAAAAACGAAGACAGAAAGTGATGTACGATTTATGAAATGTTAACAGAGTTTATCATTGCACATGGTGGAGATAATGATATTGCAAAGCATCTGATCTCACAGAAACACAAAACTGCTGATGTCAGTGTCTCGTCTAGCAAATCAGTCACTACCTTTTTAAAAGTGTTTCCCCTAACAGTAAGGATCTGGAGGTGGCTGCTGTTGAGGCTTTGTGGGTCTACCATACAATCAAAGAGAATTAAAGCTCCCAATCTAATGACTGTGTGTCAAAAATCTTTCAGGAATGTTTGGAGCCATAATTTAGATGTGCCAAAACGAAATGCCATACAACTGTTACAAATGTAATTGCACCATTTGCCTTATCAGAACTGGATAAAAAGTTGAAGGATACCTGATGCCACAGATGAAACCAAACCATTCTGTTTGTTATGCTTGACTTCCCTCTGCAATGATTCCATGAGATCAGGAAAATTGGTAGGACACCTCAAAAGCGTACATCCAGAACAAGCAGAGAAACCATTTGAGTACTTTAAACGCATGAAAGAAGAGAGGTTGAAGACCAAACAGAAGTCACTTACTGAATTGTTAAAGTCACAGACCAGCAAGAATGAACAAGAACTCCAAGCTAATTATGAATTCAGCTTTCTTATCGCTAAGACATCTCGACCGCACACTGATGGTGAAGAGTTGCTGAAGCCAGCCATTGAGATATATCTCAGGGCAATGCAAAACAACAAAAGAGCCAACTGGGAACTTGCCACCTTACCTCTCAGCAATGACACTGTTCGCCGTCGCATTGATGAAATTGCAGATGATGTTAAGACACAATTGACCAAATTTTCTCTAGCCCTCGATGAAACAACAGTCCGTGACAGTGAAGCCCTTCTTCATGCCTATGCAAGGTTCCAACACAACTCAAAATTCATGGAAGAGATGCTATTTTGCGAGTCTTTGAAAACCACCACCACTGCGCAAGATATCTATAACGTGGTAAGGAAGTACCTGGCAGACAACAATATTCTAATAAGTAACATTGTGTCCACTGCTGCGGATTGTGCACCAACAATGATGGGACGACATAAGGGAGTACTGAAACTTCTGAAAGATGATAAATCCTGATATGATGACTGTTCACTGTGTTATTCACAGAGAGAGTTTGGCAGCTGCTAGGCTTAGTCCTACATTGGATGAATTAATAAAGAAGGTAATAAAAGTGGTAAATCTGATAAAAGCACATCGAAAGACTGAAACACTGTTCAAAGAATTCTGTAAGGACATGAATGAAAACTGTGAGACTGGTCCTCCATACCCATGTACGATGGCTATCAAAAGGCAACTGTCTGGAAAGGTTTATTGCCCTGTATGATACTTTGTTGAACTTTGGTAGAGATCTTGAGGACTTCCAGTTCATGAAATCCAATGAAGTCCAAGGCCTTGATTTCATATCTTGCTGATATTTTTGGTAAATTAAATGCATTAAATAAGGAACTGCAAGGTGAACAGAAGATTCTCATGGATTGCAGTAAACTGGGTTTTTTGAAGGCCCAGGTCTTCAGAAATAACCTCTCTCACTTCCCACATCTCAGTAAATGTGATCCATCACAAAATTTCTCACAAATAATCTCAGAACACCTCTCCAACCTCCATGATGACCTGAGCGACAGATTCATTGATCTGAAGCAGATGAATTTCCCTTCTTGGATTGCTCAGCCATTTCTCTTTACCTGGGAAAATTATGACTGCCTGGCAAAAATGGAGTCTGATCAGATCGACGAGCTAATGGACATGCAAAATGATGACAGTATAAAACCGATCCATGCTTCAAAACAACACTTCATGTGACTGGATCCCCAAGATGTTGCCAAATATAAAAAATTAGCTACAGAGGCTCGGCAAGTGCTTTTGCCCTTCCCAACAACACACTTGGTTGAATGTGCCTTTAGTGCTGTTACGGATATGTTGACTGAAAAACGAGGACGTCTCAACATTTGTGAGCGTGGTGACCTTCAAGCAAAACTAACTGGATTTGTTCCTCGGTTTTCTAGTTTAGTTTCTCTGCACGCATTAAATCAAAAGGAAGTTTTATGATCCATTGAAATAAGGATTTCTTTTTTCATTTGATGGCAATTAATAAAGCAATTTAGTTTCATAAATTGTTTCAATAATTACCACTGTAAAAGTATAATGGCGAAAATACAGGAGTATTACTAGATGACAATTCAAAATGGGAGAGGAATTGAGGAAATCTGGGATCACAAGGGGAGGAATGTGACCTGGGACTCTAAGAACCACTGATATACAGTACATTACCGATAAGTGTGAATGAAAACAAAATGGTATTATTTTAGTTTCGGTCATCTGGGGATTCTTAGTAAGTTAACTATTGAAAACAGTATTTTAAACAATTCTAGGACAATTTTCTTTTATGACATTTTCCTCGCAAATGACTTACATATGCGGGGAGGGGGCAAAGAAGAAAGGTGTCTTAAAAATGTCTAAACTACTGTTTTCAATAGTTAACTTCCTAAGAATCCCGGATAACCGAAAGTAAAACTTTACCAACAAAACAGCCACTGTGACCAAGATGTAAGCACACATACATGACAGAAGGAAAATAAGAATCACTTTCCATAAATTCTAAAGGAGTGTTTAGCTAAACATATATGAATATAAAAGAAAACAAGTTTTCCTGTATCATTTTCCATAAAAGTGTGTACAGTATCGCATTTTAGCTGTGAACGATAGGTTCAATAGTACAGATTTCAATGTTATAAATTCCATATATTTGCACTTAAATGCACAATTGTCATAAAGTACCTCCTACCACCAGTTTTGTCATCACTGGACGGCCCCTGTCAACACTATACAAGCCTCTGAAGACATCCCACTTTTATAAGGTGACACTAAAACAAAAAGCATTGATATCGACATCATAACAAAGTGCCAATGAGAAAACATTACCTGGATGATAATATTAGTTTTGTCTACCACACCAGAGCACACTGATAAACGGGTGGCTGGTTCCATCAGTCCCCTGACCCCGGGAAGGTTCACAACTTGGAGGCAGCTTCTGGGGGAGGCTTACTAGGTTGTTTCCACAGACGGTTGTAACGGTGACTGGCCTCACACTCCTCCTCAACTCTGCGATAAAAACAAATTACATTATTTTTGTTCCATAAGGTTTATTTTACTGATATTTTCATTTCAGTGATGATAATTATAATTAATACAACAGTTGTACATATATTGTTTTCAGATTCAGATAACAAGTTCTTAGTTGTCAAATTGTGAATCAGATTTTCGTGTACTACGGTATTTTAAGACTCAGTTACTATACTGTATTCTATTCAGTATATATATTAACCAAGAAAAACTGCATTTGTTGATAATATGTTTTATTAATCCTACGAAAATCATATTTAATGTTACTATATTAAAATATACCAACAGTTATTTGCGTTTTAAGTAGACCCCCCCATCCCCCCAAAACACATATAGATACGCTGACGTTATGTTATTACTGCTCTTCAACAACTAAGGTCTTTAAGCCCTTAACAGAGCTAATAATTACACCAGTCCACCAATAATAAAATAATGAGATAAAACTATCTATACACAGGCAAAGGCTTTGGAAAAATTATATGAATTAAGGGATCTACCAGCCTCAATAATAATAACAGCTTTATTAAGAAATATATTTATATATGATGTGAAAAGAAACGTCAGCAATGATAAAAACTATAATGCCAGATACATGGATAAAAGTTTATAACGCCAGATACCACCTTTATAAAAAAAATCGAGTATAAACTTTTAAAATCTCGAAGACAATAAAAAAGGGAAATAAACTCTAAAGAATAACTACAAACAAATAAATTACCATCTTACAGTGTCACCAGAGACCATAATATAGTATGTTGGAATATATATTTTTTTCGGTTGGAATTACATGTTTCAAATTACTTATTTTTTTTTTTGCTGAAAAAAAAAAAACACCCACAGCAATGAATTATGCCTGCACGTCCTGTTATCTATGCGGGGAAAAATTACCATATATATATATATATATATATATATATATATATATATATATATATATATATATATATATATATATATATATATATATATATATGCTGATAACCACAAGAAAAGAAGAAGACACGAAGTTCCCAAGCGCTTTCGTGTATAAATAAATAAACAAAATAATAATTAAAAAATAATAATAAATAATAAAATAAATAAATATTGAAGTGATAACCGTGGTAACGCTATGAGATGCACTTATTACCACCATGCTATTGTATTATTCCAGATGATACTAGGGCCAATTGCAAGAACAGTCGTGGGGTGTACGACGCCATTTACGATGACCTTCTTGCCCTGATCTTGTTTCAGGAATACCACCCTTTTGAAGCTCTGGAGAGATCTTGAAGTTTCGATATTTTGAGTACAGCACTAGCTAATAATTCCCACCAGGAAACTTGTTTCGAGACTCCTCCAAAGCTTCGAAAAGTGTAGAATTCCATGTGTTATAGGCGATATTACTGAAAAAAGACCAGGGCAAGAAGGTCATCGTAAATGGCGCCGTACACCCCATAACCGTTCTTGCAATTGGCTCTAAATGTTACATAATACTTCCTTGAAATAAATGTATAGTATATATCAGGTGCCTCAAAGAGAGCTCAGGTTCTCAACTGGCTCAGCCATGTTAATATTGTTATTATTATCCACTCTGTATCTGCGTTTTCGGGCTAAATAAACTGTTTCAATTCAATTCAATTCACATGCCTTGTGTATAACAGTATCCCGCGAACTCGTGCTAAGAAAGTGTGAAATGTCGGTTCTACTCTTATCATAAAAATGCACATTACATAACGTGTCTTAGCCTAGTTCTCCAAGTGCATTTGAAATGATGATTCCTAATGATGACCTCTGACCACACACTCACTACCCACCATTCCCACACAACTGTCTCAGGGAAATATATCTTTCACCACCGCAAATTGCATCATCTCTTACGAGTACACTACTTTATATACAATTAATAAGTCATATTACATTGTGATCACACACAATATACTCATACAGAACACATTTCTTCCTAATAGTGACTCTGGCCACACAAGTTTTCATGTAAGAATATATCAACTACATAAAACAGCAGATAAGAGGCAATAACGTTATATTTCTTCTTCTATGTTCTTTGAAATTAAATAGAAAATATCAATATTTATAGACTGAAGAGGATAGTCTAAATAAAGTGATAATATGGTGATGTGGTTGCGCCTTAACGTCACACCACCTCGTCACCACCACCACTATCTGAGTTTTATCAAATAGTAGGTAATGGCGTTACATTTGGAATACGATTGTAATCTGCAGCCATACAGGGGGTACCAGGTACAAGTGCAGGCGATTATACTGTACCTGTACCATACTTTAAGAAAGAAAAGGAATAAAAACAAATAATCAACACTAACGGGTAAGGGGACATGAGGGGAGAGAGAGGTATATAAAAGACGGTCCTCAACACAGACGAAAAACATCGATTCTTCACAGTAAAGTTCATGTTTCACGCCTCACAAGGCCTCTTAACCCCCCCTGTCGCTCACACACTCCAACAATATCCCCGCGCCCTCCAAGTCACCCCCTCCCACACCTCTCACGCCCTAAGTTTAACCCTCCACCGCTTCGAGACACTACACAACACCTTCCATTCACACCACCCATAAATAGGACTCTATGCTACCCCCCAGCCCCTACTTAAGACTCTGTAACTCCCAGCTCCCTCCATAGGACTCTCTGCTGCTCTCAGCCCCATACGTAAGACTCTGCTACCCCCAGGCCCTCCGTGGGACTCTCTGTTATCCCAACCCCCTCCATAAGACTCTCTGCTACTCTCAGCCCTTACGTAAGACTCTCTGCTACTTCCAGTCCCTACGTATGACTCTCTGCTTCCCCCAGCCCCTACGTAGAACTGTCTGCAGCTCACAGCCTCTCCGTAGGACTTCTCAGCACCTCCTAACACTCAAGCGGGCGTTAAGGAACCTCACCCTCCCTCCCCCTGTGTACATTAGCGAGGGTCACCGGAATGTCAACTAATGATCGCAGGTCTAGACACAAGTGCTGAGTTTCCCCCATTACTGCTTCGCTAACACTCACTCCTCAGTTACTCGTGAAAATTCGAGTCTTTTATAATTATTGTAAAGTTGAGTTTAATTACAAGTGCTATAGTGGGATTATGTGGCCACAGTACAGTAGTCCGGATATTAAAGATGGGAAGTGATTGTTTTTATTTTTCAGCGCTGTCTGATGCTTGTTGTTGCCGACCATAGGAATAATGAACGTTAGGTGCAATTAGTTCAACACACCGATACTGTGGACCCCCCAAAGTACTGTGACGCAAATATACATCGAAGTAGGAGAGGTGGCTAGTAGTCTAAGGCGATGGTGCGGGGAACTTTAATCAATACTATAACTCTTTATCATTTTACCTAATGTCTTTATGAACTGCATTAAAGAACTGCTTAAAAACACCACTCGAGATGCCAGAGAGAGAGAGAGAGAGAGAGAGAGAGAGAGAGAGAGAGAGTGTGTGTGTGTGTGTGTGTGTGTGTGTAGTTCCTCCCCTCAGCTGTCACGGGACGTTCTCAGTGTTATTATTTACCGTAACCTTCCTCTGTTTACCATCACTGAACTGAATTATAAACAGTACTAGAGATGTGAGCCAGGAGTGATGTATGATGGTACACGAGTTGTTACATCAAGCTTAACTATTTCGAGACAGAATTTACACCTGCAAATAGTAATCCATAACTGGCGTCATTAAACACCTAGCCTGTTGTCCCTACTTCAACCTACCACATAGACACGGAGAGGCCACTTAAACACTGCCTCTTCATACGCAATGCAGTGGCGATAAGTCTAACTCGTTCTTGGTTAAAAATCCGCTTACCACAAAGATTTCCACCAGCCCGACCATTCCACCTCTCACTCGACCTGATCTTGTCCCCGTCTACTGGTTCACAAGACGAGACTAGTTCCCCCCCCTCCCCCCCCAACCCCTACCCTATCCCCTCTCCTCCCCTTCCCTCCCTGTCCTCTTTCATCCAGTAAACAACAGAAAAAAAGCAAAACAGCGATAATTAAAGAAGGGAATAAAACTAGAATGTAAAATAAAAATTATCCATCAAGAAATAAAGAAGTTTTCGATGAATGTGACAAGGGAAATATTTCAGGGGAACAGGAGGAAGATACGATGGGTAGAAGAATGTCGATGACTGTGTACTGCACACACGCACACGCACACACACACACACACACACACACACACACACACACACACACACACAAAGATGAAGAAGGTTCGATCGATCAAGAAACGAAGGAATTGAGAGAGAATGGTGAATAGAGGAGACACACAGAGAGCAAAGAGAGAGGGCAGAAGGCCGGTCAGTATGAGAGGCTGGGATGAATAGGAGGAGGAACACTGTGATGGCGGGACTCACAACAGGGGTGCGGGGAGGGTGGGAATAACACGCACAAACACGCACTCTTCACTCCTCCCACACATTAACACGCATTCTTTCACTCCCCCGCGCACAAACACGCACTCTACACTCCCCCACGCACAAACACGCACTCTTCACTCCCCCATACACAGAAACACGCACTCTTCACTCCTCCCACACACATAAACACGCTTCCTTCAATCCCCCACGCACAAACACGCACTCTACACTCCCCCACACATACAAACACACCTTCCAGGCCATACACAAACATGCACCCTCCACTACCACACACAAACACACGCCTTCCACCCTCACACACAAACACGCACCCTCCACTCCCCACACATAAACACACACCTTCCACTCCCCCACACACAAACACACGCACCCTCCACTCCCCCACACACAAACACGCACCCTCCACTCCCCCACACAAACACACACCCCCCAGTTCCCCACACACATATAAAGGACATTAACCCAACCATTATTACTCTTGTCATATGGATGTTAATGATTACGCTTTGGGACAACTTACGCAAGATACGCATTCTGACGATACACTTCTAAATGGTGGAACTAATACGCATTTTGAAATCCACTTACAAAATGATTAACTTATAC